TAGTAGTAACAAGTGCCTTACTACTAGTAACAAGAAGCTCTTAGAAACAAGTGCCACGCTAGTAGTAACAAGTGCCTTACTACTAGTAACAAGAAGCTATTAGAAACAAGTGCCACGCTAGTAGTAACAAGTGCCTTACTAGTAGTAACAAGAAGCTAGTAGTAACAAATGCCACGCTAGTAGTAACAAGTGCCTTACTAGTAGTAACAAGAAGCTATTAGAAACAAGTGCCACGCTACTAGTAACAAGTGCGGCACCGGAAAGGCTTTGCTGTTGGTTTCGCGACTTGCGGGCGAGTCAGGGCCGCGCTCAAAGGCCCTTGTTCGTAGAATTGGTATTGAAAGCACTTAGGGGGTTAGAATCAACAGCTTGAATCAAGGCTTTGTTTTTGGTAGCATTGTGAGCAAGACAACAGTCACTAACAAAACATCGTCTTACGCGGAGCTCAAGCGGATTTGCTACTGACCAGTTTTGATCGATCCTGGTCTCTCATCTTTCATGTCTCTGCTTATTGCCATCCTTCAGCAAGGGAACCCGATTACCAACTATTGTAACATTGTAACCAATGATTTCCGACTTTGCTTGCGCAACATGTGCTCTGAAAATCTCCTTACGCGAGCGATCCAGTGTTTGGCTTACGCGAGCAAGCCTTGTGACACAACCCTTTCATCTCATGACTACGGAGGTGCTGGCCCTTGCTCAGGTCGTTTCGGTCTTCTACCAAAGACCCCTACACCCACCACTGGCACAATCTTTTGACTGCAGTGCGTGCACCACAAATCAAGGCAGCTGATACTGAAAAGCAACAAACCACGTGTTTGGAATATCGACAGGGCTGCTGCTTCTTAATTTGCAATTTGCTTTAACACCGAGCACTAGAGCGATGCGCAGCACGATGGAGCATCGCTCTAGTCCTGTCCAAACGGTCGTCTCGTCCTGATTGACCTGGACGACAAAAGCAATTATGCACTATGAAGCTACAGCTACATCTGGAGAGGAAAAACACATTGTACGTAGGACCTGACGTAGGATCACAGTATATAGCTAATGCTTGTTGTGGAGCTGAATCAAGTAAATACGGGAGCCATTGGAAAAGCGATCTGCAAAGAAAAAAGTGTGGTGGAATCTGGTGGAATCCGCCCTCACACTGCAAAAGCCTTTCTGAAGATTCGCTGTGAACAGTAATCTGAAACGCTTCCAGACTGCAGGCTGTAAGATTCGGCCCCTAGCCCCTTCTAAGGCCACGGGCTGAAGGGAACAAATAAAGCGTGAGCGAGGCAAGCCTCACTTCGCACAAAGCGAAGATCCGGACGAGACTCATCAATACTCTTCCTTATAAGTATAAGATAGTATAAGCCACTGAAAAGAAAAGCTACCGGAAAGGACAAAAGAAAGACAGGTTGATGCAAACACCCCAAAGACATCCAAAGACTCTTAGGTTCAGGCAGCAAAAGCGCCTGATGGCGAGACGTCCCAGGTCACAGGCATGGCGGCAGTACAAAAAGTATCAAACAGTACGTAAGCATGAGTATGGAACGAGAATCGCAATTGTTCTACACTCTACATGCCTGGCAAATCTTGAAGATATGACAGGGTCAAAAGGAGATCCAATGGCTAGATGCACCAGTTTGAAGGGCTTGCAAACACTGGCCTTGCCTTTGCAACTTGACTTCGGGGCAAATTCAACAAGACTCCCATGCACTCCTGACTTCCAACTTATCTCAACCTGGTCGATTTCCTTGGCTTGGAGTCTTGGACAGTTCTTCATGGAACCACTGGTCCCCCCTCCATGCCTGCAGCTTGGGGTGGCCCCTTCGGAGGGCACCCATGCCACCGGCCAAGTGCGGCCATCGGAGCAGATTCTCACGTTCTATCAAGACCGAAAGACCTGTGTAACATAAGTAGCAAGAAGTATAATGTACCTTGGGTTGAACTGACCATGAAAGCCCAGTGAGCACCGATAAATCAGTATTTTTGTCTCACCACTGCAATGCTGCGGGGCTCTTTTGTCCAACAAGAATGTACGTGATTCTGTCAGTGATGCAGTGATAGCAATGATGTGGGACAAGTACCTCCCCCCCAGAGAAGGACCTTGGCTCCTCTCTCCCAACTACCTGGCCGATCGTCATGCTGCACCCTGATGCTGCCGTCATTTACAACTCCTGATGCTCAGCTTTCGGTGACTTCCAGACTGCGGCCTCCAGCGACGCCTCCGAAGTGCTCATGGGGCTCATGGCCTCCTTAATCTCTCGAAGTGCTCCTTGCGGATCCTCCAGCGACGCCTCCACCCCCGCGAGGCCCCGCTCGTCCGGGCGCAAAGGGAGCCGAGCCCAAGGCAAACCCAAAACCAAAGCTAAGAAGCGGTAGTGCCCAGCAAAGGGTGATGCAAAGCCCAGTTCAAAAACATGACAAGTTGTGGGCGAAAACAACATGTTCACCAAGGCGCCACCATGGAATCCAACGATTATGCGTGCCCTTCCAAAGAGCCGGGCAGTGGCTTTGGGCTTTAACTGGCCATTGAAGGTGATGTACTCCAAAGCAACAGAGGGAGCCCACGTCTTGAGCTCTTGAACAAAATCTGCCTCACCATGCAGGACGCTACGCATTTCTCCCTGCTTTCGCTTGATGTATACCAATGCAGGTCGCAGGTGTTCAGTGGCAGATGGGGCGGATGCAAAACCAGCACCCAAGGCATCACGGACATGAAGAAGTACAGATGGAGGTGTTGGGCAGTGTCCTCCGTCTTTTCCAAACTCAACCGGAAGTTCCCAGTTTGCATAGTATAGAGTTTCCTTTCTGGTCAGCATGTCCAACAAAACAAACGGTACAAAACCTAAAGTGTTTGGAGGACAACTTGTTCACTGCTGGATCAACCATCCGTCTTTGTAAAATCTTGTTTGGCCAGAACACCCGCAATTTGAATCAACTGCCCCTTGAACCATACCAGAATAATGCCTGTGGCACCTACATACTAATTATTGTTGTAAATCAATATTGATGAATGACCTCATTTAAATCACCCTTCTACAGATTGAGGAAATTGAAAAACACATAAAAAAAAAAAAACTAATTTCTCAGGGAGTAACGGCTCTCAGAAGCACGTCGTTCGGGCCACTGGTCCAGTGAATCAGGCGATTGGCAGAGACCCCCATACCTTGTGTCAAAATCTTGAAACCTGCAGCAAGGAAGCCAAAGGGCTTTGGCAAGATGAGACGCGTCTCGGGGTCATCAAGAATGCCTGCCTCCTTCAATAGCCAAAGTCGGCCAAAGACCTCAGTGATAATGTGGAAGTAGGAGGTGCCTGCAAACTGAACAAGACTTGCAGCCTTCTTCACGAGCATCGGCGTTTCCCAAGCTCCATGATTGGGGGCACGACCTTGTGACACGTCAAACCATCTAAAGCGCGGCCCTCCATGAGGGGCAGGCGGGTCTCCCCAGATTTCCAAAAGCTGCAAATTCTTTGCCAGGTCAACAGCCAAGCCAGCAGAAGCCATGAAAAGTTGACATTCCTTCTCATCCACAATGATCCCATCATCTCCAGAAAGACCTACGTCTCTAAAGGTCGCCACATACGCTCCATGATCGCAATAGTTCTGGCCACAAGACTCATCTCCAAATGTCACCGGTTTTAGTGAAATCAGGGAGCGGCTGAAACCAAGAGCTTCCTTCCATGAATAGAACATGCGGCCATCACAGTCCGATTTCGACCTTCCCCGCTCTTTAAGACCTGCTTTCCACGCATGGAAGGCACTGTCTTGTGATTTTTGGAAGCTTGCCACCGTCATGTTGGTGCTGTCCTCAAGAAAGTGGAAAAGCATAACTTGGATGGTGGCCAAATCGTGATAGCGGCTGGGGAAGCCAGGATATATCTTCAGTTGCTCTTCCACCAGCTTCAAGGACTCAAGCAAATCCCCCTGGCCATGGGCATATAGAGCATCCCTTTTCATGGACACGAGACCATAGCGAGCGTATCGCAAGCGCCCAAGGGCCCATTGTGCCATGGCAGGTTCCTTCTCAGCATTAATCCTTTCCAAGGCTGATTCCCAGGCCTCGATCGATTCATTCAACTGATTTGAGGTCAACATGGCTTGTGCGAAAGCCACATAGGCGTCTGGTTCAGAAGGTTCAAGTTGAACAGCCACTCGGAAGACTTGACGGATTTCGTCCAAGGTGCGAAGAGCTTCTTGAGTTTGACCGGCCCGATGTAGCTTCACTGCTCGATCTAAAGTGCCTTCAATCTTGTCAACTAAAGCAGTGTACTGATTGTACTGACTCGATACCAAGTGGCACAAGTGCAGCAGAAAGCCCAGGATCATCTTCGTGGCCGATTGGCGGCAAGGTCGCATGGTTTTCACATGTTGCTCATTTTCCGTGTCGACTTGGGCCGTCGGCAAGGGCGAAGGTCGTTTCGAATCCCAACCGCAGTTGCCAAAAGTGGAGGTTTGGCCATGACTCGAAGGCAAAGTTCAAGTGATCCAGACCCCTACGGGGCTTCTCTTTTTGGCTCTGCAGCGCCAAACTGTTTTTGGGACACGCGTTTTCCGTCTAAGATCATACACGCGGTCAACAGCAGAACAAACAGCAAAGAGGCAAAGAGCGTCACAATAATGCTGATTCATTTGTGGAACTGACTACTATGGCCTATTGAATGCGATTAGAACTTGGCGGCGACATAATGGGCATAGTGTGAAACCACTTTCTAGAATCTCTCAATCGCTGCCTCCGAGAACACTTTGGAAAGGCTAGCATTTGAGAGCAGCCACTTAAAGCGCCATCCACCGTTCACTTCTGCAAGTTGTTTCGTTCCAGCAGTTTTGCGCTATCCGCATTGTAAGCGCCGAGCAGGATAATTTGCTGTGTAGGATGGAAAACACGGATCTAATCTGCAACTGTTGCCACCTCTATATATATATATATGTTTTAACAAAACACAACAACACCCATGACGTTTGTGTAGCTGATCTCAACATATCTTAACTAAGAGCAAGTGACAGTATCTAGACCTCCACCATGGCTGCAGCCGGTGCTTCTGGCGCTTGAAAGCGGCCCAAGAAACTACACCCGTGGCACAGTTGGGGCCTCGGTCCAGAGCGAAGAGTTGGATTTAGAGTCCAGAGCGGCGGGGGGGTCCTAGTCTCCTGCCGTGCTATTGAATCTTTTCCAATTCGATGTCCTCATTTTCAGTGCACAGCCCAATGGTGCATGTGACATGTCACAGAAACGGTCGGCATTTAAGGACGCCGCATTTGCCGGCGAAGCATTACCGCTCAGTATCGCTGGGGAAGCATGACCGCTCAGCCCGGCAAACTGCGCGGTGTCCGCGGTGTCAGGCTCAGGTGGCTCCAGAACAACTAACACATCATATTACACAGCAGAACAAACACAACCTTTCCATACCTTTCCAAATTTTGCAATGATCAAACAATGTGCTCCCTGCCCTCTGTGTATGTCTGCGTGATCCTCAAACAGCCCACCTTGCTTGGGTCCATCGCTGCTGAAAGGTCAACGGGTGGCACTTCTTGCCAATTCATTGGTGTACTTGGAGGAGCCTGGGTGCAAGAGTGATGTGCCAGCAGCATTCCTCTACTCACTTTGATGAACAAAATCACATGCATCATGTGTCATATTGTTTCATCACTTTCTCATTCTTCCACAAAATGTCAGGTCATCAATGTCAGGTGCGCAGAGTCTGTTTAGTCAGCAGAGCTTTTTTTGGGACGTGTCCAGCTCTAGAGACTGCAGGCATCATGGGGTGGTCTCTGCCAAGGCTGAGGCGCGCCTCGCCTGGTTGGTGGGAAAGTGAAACTGACTGATTCCAAGCTTGGCATTCCAATAATAGGGTTTTCCAGTGGTTTTGGACTTCATTTGCGTCCATCCTTCTGGCAATGGCAAAGGTGCTGGAGTGAACGGGTTCACTGTCGGTGTCATTGGTGCCGCAGGCGTGGCCGAAGAAAGGCCACCATTCTGAGGAGCAGCCGGTGTAGCAAAGGAAAAAGCCGCAGCCGGGGTGCTCGTACCTGGCTTTGCCTCAAGAGGATCATCAAAGGTGGTTTCTCCTGTCATAGTATTCACAAAGTAAACACCGTCTCCACTGGATTTCTTTACTCGGATCCAGTTAGGTGGCAACTTCGGGAGATGAGCAAACTGGTCCTGTTCCCGAGCCCAATCCATGACTCGCTTCGGTTTGGGCTTCGGCACACTGGCATTCTCGGATGGTGCCGGTGTGACATCACCTGGCGCCCCAGGCGTGGTCGCCTCCCGGAGAGGCATCCGGGGCGACAAAAGAGAAAAGGCGTCGCCGTCGCCTTCGCCGAGTTTTCGTTGGACCATCTTGAGCGCTTTCTCAAAGCCACGCTCGAAGCCGTTTCGGAATCCCTCCTCCATCTCGTCGAGGTCTGCTTGCCTGGGCCTCTTTCTTTGCACCTGCTCTGCCTTCACCGTGGATGTGGCAACCTCTTCCTTTATCTCCACCTTCACTTCGGAGCCCAAGAGGTCCAACAGTTCCGGCTTCACTGCAGACTTCTCGCCAGGCCCATTCACCGGTTCCGGGGCCTCCCAGAGCTGCCGATCAATCTGTTCCAAGTTCTCTTTCACTTTGGTATAGGCCTTCTTGATTTGTGGAGGTGACCCAGGTCCCACCATCACCTTCGGCACCGTCTTGTCAATGGTGATCGACACGCCGCCCGTCTCTTCCTCCATGGTCGCCTCCCAGCTTGGCAGTTCCAAGAGTTTCTTCACCAGCTCTGGTGTGATCAGCACATCTTTGGAGACTTCCACCAAGGGTGTCCATTGACCAGTGAAGAGCAGCTCTTTGGCTGTAAAGGCTCGAACGGAATCTTCCTGACCATCCTCCGTGAGCTTGAAAATGGTCATGTTTGTTGCTTCATCACACAGCCAAAACTCATCCAGGTCGGGAAAGCAATTGTCCACCCAACCCCGCTTGTGGGTGTCAAAAACTACCACCATCCCCTTCTCCACCTCGCTAGGCTTCAGGGGCTGCAAGTCTTGGACCAGCGCAGGTATGACCTGTGGTTTCTTTGTTTGGGCACCTTGGGATGGGCTGGCCGGGTCTGAACCGTCCAGTCTGTCCTCCATGTTGGGCTTCCACACGCCCCAAGACTCATCACCGCCATCCCCCCTCATCACCTGGCTCAACCTTCATCTCCTGCTTCACCAACCCACTCCCGTTCCAAGTCTCTTGCCACGACTCAGGTGGGCTCGGTTGTGGGCTCGGTTCCCCCTCTAGTGGACTCGCTTCTTGCCATGTCTCTGAACTGGGTGGCCGCCGCACTTGCCAAGCTCGTGGAGGGACCGGGATCGCCCTCGGCCTTGCTGGTGAGATGATTGGAATTGTCCTTGGCCTGAACTGGCTCTGCAAGGGGACTTGCCCTTGGTTGAATTTGGCCCACATCTCTCAAGGCATGGCAGGCACAACGCAGTGCGAGTGGAGCTGTGCTTAAGACCTCATGCATGCATGTTCTACCCTGCTAAATGCCGTTGAAACTCCTGCAACGTGGTCTGGAATGGCACTGTTTGCGTTGCTCTCATGAGATCACTAGTGGCCGCAGCAAGAATTACTACTGTACATGAATCGATCATTGCTACAGTCAGTAGTTAAGTTTCCCTAAAAGTCTAGACACCAAATCATTAGTGCGAGCGCTTCTTCAAGGAAGCTTCCCCCGCTGCCCGCCAGGGCGACCGGGGGAGTTTCCTTGACACGCGAGCTCTCCTGCGTCCTGTCAGTAGCTATTTAAACTACTAGCTAGGTAGCTACTGTAATTAAGTAGGGATGGTGGGGAGGGGGCTTTAAAAAAAGGACCTTCATACATCAAAAGATCAAGTCTGAGAGTTGCACCTTTGGATTCTCCGGCATGCTGGAGATGGGAGAAACCACCTCACCGTTGCTCGGCGCTGCTCCGAGGCCCATCTGGTGTATCTGAGCCTGCAATGGATGAGTCTCGAATCGGTTTCGGCAGGGTTTCAGGTTAACAGGTGCGTCGCATATCGTCGCAAATCGAATTACTGCTAATTTAGAGGCACTGCATTAAAGCCGCTCTTGTTAGAGCGATTCCACATGGCCCTCGAGCAACCACATGGCGACCAGAACTGCCGCCTGGAGTTGGGCCATTGCCTCTGGTGTGATCGTGGCTCCTGCTCCTGCCTCACAGCGAAAAAGCATGAAAAATAGCCTGCTCATGCCTGCTCGATGGCGTCCAACCTAATAGCATCTGATTGCATCTCCCAACCGTGAAGCCATGACGACTTCGCCTGGCTGCCCGCGGGGGCCGCTGGCGCTTGCGGCGCTTGCGGCGCTTGCGGCACTTGCGGCGCTGCCGGAGCCCAGGTGCCTCCAGGGCGGATGGCCGGCAAAGCGGTGCCGCCGGGCCTTGCTTTGGGCCAAACGAGTGCTGACAGCGTTCGGGGTGTATTTTGTTGGCGTTTGTTTCATGAGTTTTCATCCAAGAGAAGATTCATTGCTATGTTATTTCAAATGTGGTACCCTTTCAGTCACAAAGGCTGCGACGGCGGGGCGCCACCTGGTGGTGGGATGCCTCCTGGTGCTGGAATGCCACCTGGAGGCGGAATGGCTCCTGGCACTGGCGGAATGCCCCCAGCACTGCCTCCAGCTGTCTTAGCTGGTGGAGCAGCCGCCCCAGGCACACAAATCCTGAGATAGCAATGCTGATGCACCATTTCAACAAAGCAAACATATGGGGTATGCAGGAACGGCCAACAAAAACCCAAGGGTGGATGCGAGTTCTTCCACAATTTTGGAGTGAATCGTTGCAGCAAATTTCTGCGCAGTGTTCTGATGCCTCGTTCATGCAAGGCTATGCCATAGTCGTTGAGTCGTCTGGCTATCGATGGATTGTCCTCTCCAGCATCTTGTTTCTGGATGTTTTTGTCTCCATCCCGATGCAATCAAAGGGGCGGCGCTGCAGAAAGTGGTGCTCCAGCAAGCGGTGCTCCGGGAGCCTGCAAAGTGCAGGAATGTTGACACCCAGTTATATACTCGATGTTACTCGAGGGTACTGAGACCAGCACTTAACCATCAAGCCATACTTTGGAGCATTGCAAACTCTCAAGAAAACACTTGACAACACTCACTCATGATGTTGAACGTTCATAGTGCTCAAGTCATGCGACCCCTTCAAGGAGCCCCGCTTTCCTATCTACAAACCTCTTCACTGGCCGGGCTCGCCTGCGGCGGTGCCATCGGCCCACCCGGCGGCCGCCGGGGCGCAGGGATGCGGTGCAGCAAGCCGGTGCCTGAGAATGTGCTGGTCACAGGGATCTTCTCCAAAGGCTTTCCCTGAGATCCTTGTGATCACTCAGGATGCCGATCACAAGGATCACAGGGATCGCTCTTCACCAGGATCACAAGGATCTCCACAAAAATGCCGGACTCCACCAAGAAGTGTGCCAGGCCTATGTCACAGCCAATGCAGCCGTCGCCACCCCAGGCATTGTTGGGCATGAGGATGGTCTGTGGTCGCAAGGATGGTTGCACATTGTCCAAGTGAGGCATTGCATCCCAAGCCCAAAGTCCAAACCACAATGAAGCACGTATTCATTGCTGCATCATGAATCTTGACGTTGAACTTTCTACTTGTGGACTCAGAACTGTTTGTTGGAGTCAGAACTTCACAGTTCTGCCAGCCCGTAAGCCTGTATCAAAGAATTCCCAAACAGGCTGTTCACATCAGTCCATGAAAAATGTCCAAACTCTATAGACTATATATATATATAGACTATAGACCTTTCATGATCTTTCTATCGGCAGTCATCGCCACGGCGGGACGTGACTGACAAGTATCCACCATTATATATTGTTTCTTTATGTTTCTTTTGTGTTGTTTGTCTTTCTTCATTCCTTCCGATTCCTTCCTTTCCTTTTTGCATTTACTTGATTCTTTAGACCTGTAGATCCTTAGACATATTTTTCTGTCCTTTCTTTATTCCTTCCTTCCTTTCTTTCTTCCTTCCTTCCTTCCTTTCAAGTAAATCCTCGAAGCACGAACGGTGTCCACGCTATCACCAACATCCACTAGGGACATCCATGGCCTCTCTGACAGATTCGGAGTCTGCATTGTAGACATACACCTGTCGGAATCGATATGAAACAATGAAACAATTAAGTGAAACTGACCACTATCGTCCACCATTACCCACCTGCATGCGCTCGTTGATATTTGCTTGCACCACTTCGACGAGCTCGTCAATATCGTGAAAAACCCGCTGAGGTGTGCCCAGCAAAAAATCCTGAAACTGAGTTTAAGCAGGCCCCCTCCCATCTCTGACAAAGCAGGCTTGAAACAAGGAAATGCGATGGATGCAAAGGGTTGTATGATTCTGCCATCAATTATTGAGTATGTACGCCTGATGTACATGTGGCCATTTGCACGGGCAAGTGCACCCTGTCCTGAAACGGCACCAGGCCAGCATGAGCTGCAGGCGAATTTGGGAAAACCTGCAAACACGGGGAACGCATGAAGGATGGCGACGCGAATCAAAATTCCTGCAATTTAAATGAAACTGCAAAAGGAAGTATTTAAAGTCGATCCAAAAAACATTGAATCAATTTAGTCAAACCCCTTTCCGCTGCTGAACCTCCAGAACCCGAATTCCGTGGTTCTCTGCCTAAGTGGCTGAGAGATTGGACGGACTCTGGACATATGAATAGATTAGATGTCATCCATTTTCACACTCTGATACTCTGTGATGAGATGCAAGCAGCAACGCAAAGCGATGGAACGCAAGCTTCCCGAACGCCACTTTCAAGTGCAGCCAAGTGACAACATCTACGGCGTCGTATCTCACGGTCGCTCCTCACATCGTTGCATTGCAAAAGGAGTTTTCCGAAAGAAACGGTCGACACCGGTGAGGAGCGTCGAATTTCAGGCTGCTGAATGTGCGAACGGCCAACAGGGCGGGGATGGGCGGGGATGTGCGAAGACAGGTGGAACGAGCATCGAACTGTCGAAATGAGCATCGAACCCAGAAGTCCATTGCCAGCCCACTTTCTGGGCATCACAGTCACCTGCGCCAGAAACTGGGCAAATCCATCTGCCCAATTGGCCCAAAGTATCACTAGCAAAGCTGGTTATTAGTTATTGAGCGGCTTGCAAGTATTTGTGAGTGAAGGTCATCTTTAAGAAACAATAGTGGCAAGAAATTTCATCAAATCCCATAAAATTCCTGTTCAATCTCATGTGCTGCACACAACCCTTTCATGGCAGCTCTTTTTTGGGGGGTGGGGTGCAAAAGCGTCTCTGGTTCCATGTTGCACCTCTCGAGTCATGTTGGCTCTGGTGTTGTATACCGTGATCTTTGCCGTGCCATTCTCGGCGTCCTGGAGAAGCCGACTTCATGCCGTGACATCCCGTCCGGCTTCCCCGCTCCACGGTGATGGGTGGACCAGTGGAGCTGTTCACTAAATGGTGATGGGTGGAAAACAGAGTTTGTGATGAACATTTGTGTTCCTCACAAGTTGGCATCCGTGGCAACCGGTAGTCCCGGTAGTGGGTCGGTAAAGAACATGAACTTCATGAACATACACACCTGATTCTGTTTTGTAGCGCCAGGTCCTGGATGTGCTTTGCAAAAACCGACTGCTCGCCAGGCCTGAGGAAACGTTGTGGATTCCACCGATCAGCACAAGTCCATTCAGTCAGAGTGCCATTTTGAAGGGGCTTCAGATGATAGAGATGATAGAAAAGTCAATGAACATCATGACTCATGACATCCAAATATCACGAAGTTGACTTGAAAGTCTTTATGAAGCAGCACTAATCTCACAGTATGCCCTTGAGATGCTGGCAATTTGGATGTCTGAGGACGTGGATGGGGGAGCCAAGTGGACACTTCAAGCGTACTGCTCAAATGATGTACAGTAGATTATTCCGTATGGATTACGAATAACATTACTCACATCTACTCACGCATTACACTTCAGGCGTCTTTCCCACACACACACACCAATCCATGGACTCGTCGGGGACAGGACTCTAGGTTGACACCGTTGATCGCCACGATGAAGTCGAAAAACACCTGGCGATGAACGGCGCGATGAGTCGAGCAGGGAACCACTAGAGCACGTCAATTGAAAGAAAACCACAATATTGTAAAAACATATCATATGAATCAATCAATGAATCAACAAGTCTGGTTATCAATAGAAAAAACATGAAACAACAAAAAACACGGCATTCCAGAAGGTATACGATTTCTTCCGCATGGCCTTTCAGGACAAACATGGACAATGTCAGCAGCGGTTGAAAAAACCAAAGCAAATCAAAGTACTTACTTACAAACACCTGCGGCATTGTCGAAACTCTGTCTGTCCCAAACCCCACCGCTTTCTACATGCATTGGTGAAGAGCGAATCCTTTCTGATCCTTGCCCTATTCGTGTCACTGATTCGTGGCCGGCGACATCATTTCCGGCGACTTCACGCCAGCATGCGTGGTGCGGCCTCCAACCCTGCTTCAGCAGCAGGGCTTCCAGGACTCACCTGCGGCTCCAAGGTCCCATGAGGTGATCCCAAGTTCAGTTCACCATTCACAATGAGTAGACAATAGACGGTTCTACCTTCCAGGTCTGCAAACAATCACAGAGTTGTCAGTTAAAGTATGTTAAATTGAATTAATGCTCACAGATCGCTTCACACATCGCTTCGATGATCTAAAGGAACCGCTTGGAACACCGCACGTCTTGCTCTCCGCCTTGAAAACACGGACGCCGCCTATCTCTGTCGACGCCGAACCGCCCATGGCTCCTCACAGACCTGCCAAGCGTCTCACGAAACGTCAAGCGGCTCAACCTTCCAAACCAGCTCAATCGGCAAAAGTTACGCAGTAGCGTTTGCCACAGTATGTGGACCCTGTCATACCAAGCACAAATGATATTCCCAAAACCCGAAAAGAAATGCATCGCCAGTCGCCCTCGGCGCCTGATGGTCCGAGCCAGGGGGCTTCACGCCCCAGGGGCCAAACAGCTACGTAAGCCCGGACAGCAAAAACAGCATTCCCGTGAGATTCTCTGGCCTGGGAATTGCCGTGAGATTCTCTGCTTTTCTGCTCAACAGCTGTGCTCTATCTAGAAATCTCTACTTGCCTTCCCTGATTTTTTGGCCAGAAACTCTACGTTGCTTTTCTCCACAATCAGATTTCTCCTAGATTCCTCCCCAAAGGTATGGGAAAATCGCTCTGAAACCGCTGCTTTAGTGGTACCTACTAAAACATTCCTAAATGATGCTAAATGCTAATGCGCGTAATGCGTACTACATTACAGGCATCACCATGCATCAACTGCATTACCTCTATGGATTGGAGCAATGCATGTAGTTTGCGACACAAGCCATTTCCGCGTTGCTTTCAGGCGCTCCTGGTCCTCATGGTCTTCAGCAAAAGCTGGCCTGGAAGATCCGCTTGCAAGTGGGGGAACTAAACTCATTGAGAAGAGTCATCTTGAAGGCTTTTGGCTCACAGAGACAGAGACAGAGACAGACAGACAAAGAGAGAGGGAGAGAGAGCGAGAGCGAGGAGTTGCGTGAGGTCAATGTCTCAGGAAACAATCGCGATGCCTCCCCAAAGGGGCCTATGTTTCGTGGCGCCCGTTAGGCAAGTCCTTGGCTTTAGACCCTTAACCCTCGTTTGGCTTTGGAATCTGCCGCCGAGAAGCGAGGCTTCAAACAGAAGGGCCCGGAGAGTCCCGCGCTGCAGATCTTTTGTTGTACCCTGAGCCGGTTGGTGAATGAAAAACACAATGAACCTGTAACACACACACACACACACCAATTTCACCAATATTTTGGAAAGAACCAAGTACGTCCAAGTAGCCACTGTCGAACAAAACCAAATAAGACTCTTGGAGTGCTTGACACACATTGACATGATTGAGGGCTTTCGGCAGAAGTATGCAGAAGTCGGTCCAAAGAAGCTTGTTCGGGCTATTCCAAAGTTCAATTTGAGAGCTTTTTCATTGTTTAGCTTTTAGTAGTAAGGCCAGGAGCTCCTAGTAGCGCCCTTGCTCCTAGTCTAGAGAATCACCATAGCACTGGAAAGTCGGAAATCTGCTTGACAGCTCAACAGACCGCCAAATCTCAGATCTCCCCAGACCGCGATTGCCTTCCCCTCATCCCCTGCCTTCCCTTCATCGAGCATTGTGGTCAAAAGCATGTCTACATCATCCTGGCTGGTGTTGGGCAACTCCGCGATGATGCGGAGGGCTTCAACCAAGGAAGGGCAAAGGTACAACTGTGCAGCTTCTGCAGACAACTCCAGCTTTCGGCACTGGAGCTTAAAGAGCCGCACCAAGACCATCCTTGGCTAAAGGATGCTAAAGGGGTGACACAAAAAAAAGCCACTTAGTTGGTTCTAATACCATCCTAGTCTGTAATGGATAAGCTTTTGTATAAGAAACCAACCATAATACCAACCTGATGCCATCCAAACCAGCAAATAAGGCTCAACGAGGTGAAGGTTGGAAATGTGCACTCACAAACCAGTGTAGATGGACATCTTTTCGCATCTATCCAGGTTGCAGCTGCAAAACTGTTCCAAGGATGGCGGATGATGCCTTCCAACAGACTTTCGGTCAACTTCTGGGAGATCTGCTCCGAGACGGGTCTCGCCACCAAACGAGACACTGGAGCCAGGACCCCTTGAGGCACAGCTCGTAACACATCACTGGCAGTGTGCAAAATCTCGCCAACTTCAGGAGTGCGAGTGCTTTCGCGTCCAAGTGAAAGTGTGGACAAGTCCTCACACAAAAAATAGCTGAAGAACAATGGTGGCAATAGTAGATACATGCCGTGTTCATGTTCATTTGCTACATCCGTCACGCATTCTGTAGAGACACATGAATAATTGTCAAATTCATGTCAACATTTTTACAGACCCCTCACATCACTCACATCCTCGCCGTGAACGATCATATTCCAGAGCTGTGCTGAAAATGTTGAAAGGCCAACCAAGGCCCGTGTGACTGTGTCCGGATCAGGGATCAGCAGAAGATCTGCCAGAAAGCATCGAAGACCTTCACGAAGCTGTTGATCCCGCAGTATGACCGAAACCAGCGCTGGCCGTCTGGCCACCGTGGCAGGCTCTGTTTGCATGGCATTTTGTTCGTTCTTCTCTTCTCCAACATCTTCCTCCAAAGCGGAGAACCGATTCTTGTTTCGGTTCTTTTGTCTTTTCCGTGAAGGTGTGGCAGCTACTGGTGCAGGTCGCTTTTGTAAGAACTTCTGTGCTGGATCCTCTAGTTGGCTCGACAGCGGCAAGTCCGTCCCAACAAAGGCGCTCATCAAGTAGCATGAGGTTCGAGTAAATGAGATTACAGATGCCGCATGAGATGGCTCGAGTTTGCTGAAGCGCGGAAGGGGATCGGGTACTGCATCGGGCACTGCTCGAGTGGTCGTTTTTCGCACTGAGTGCTCCAAGCCCCAGAATTCCTTCAGCAAGGCCGAGATGGCCACGCACAAGGTTGGGATGAAGGTCTTGCCTGGGCTGGTGAAATCCCTTGCGGGAAACAGCGTTTTGATGCGTTTTGGCTTCAAACAAACCTCACACAATTACCCACTTGCTCGAAACTGCAATTCATGGCATGATGGATTATGATGCTGCTCAGTTGCTGACACTGGCGATTCGAGGATCGTTCAGCATCGGAGGGACTCGCACCAGCGGCTGAAAGATCTCCTTGAGCAGTAGCTCGGCCACGTGGGGCCTCAGTGCTGGTAGGAGCTTGGCCGTGTTCTGCAACCACTCGGACGCTTTCGCCGACCCTTCGCCATCCCAAAAGCGTCCGGATGCCATGCAGGCCCGTGCGGCTTTGGCGACATGAGAACGGAGCTCGTAGAGGTTGACACGGATGGAAGCAGCCCATCTGGGATCCAATCCACCCGAAAACTCCTTGGCCAAGTCCTGCGAACGAAGGCAACTTTTTGGCCAAGACCCCCTGCTTTCTTCATGGTCTTTCGTTCAATTCAAGAGTGCCACGCTGACACTACCAGGAGCCCCTAGTGATCTGGGTTAAGAAAGCCCTCCATTGATGTCGTGCCATCGACTCGCCTCCTCTTCTTCTGGGCTCATAGCGCGCCCGGTCATTGCGTCAATCTCTGTGCGGCATGGGGTCAACACCAAGATCCGCACAGTGTGGTCTGAGGTGCCAGCTGCAAAAACGTACAAGTGACCTTAGCAACCCCAAGCAATCCACTTCTGTAAAACCAAGTTTGCGAGTGCCAACTCGTGCCTACAATGTGAGAAGGTGTGACCAAATACAACGACTTGTGCCAAAATGCAGATTATTCAAGGAAATTGAGCACAGGTACAGAGCGCCTGCAAAAGCTGAAAAATGCCAGGTGCCCAATCTGCGATGATGCCATCTGCCAAGTGTGGCTCCAATGCTTCCGTGCTTGCGCGCGAGACAGCACCAGAAAAGGTTGAAAGCATGGTCTTGATATCCTAATACTTCGTTGGTATTTTCAAATCGAACAGCAATCAATATTAAACCTACACGCACCGCTGAAGAGGCACACCTGTATACGATACTCTGTGGTACATGTACTTGGCCGAACGGAACACTCCTTTTTGTAAGCCGTAGCGTGGACCCTCCCAAACAAGAACACAAACCGCCAAAGCACCAAGGAACTCATCTTCCTAACTGCCGGTTTCCATGTTTCCGGGGGATACCTTCCCAACGAACAAAGAAAGGCCACAGACAATTGATTGAAGACCGGGCATCCTTCAGCTTTCCCAGTCCGCCAAGGTCTTCCTCTACACCGAGAATAGCAGGTGACGAACTTGCTGCTGATGCTACGACATCAAGAAGCGCCTGAGCAGAGGCGGATTGCACCAACTCTGAGGAGCGCCAGGCAGTGGTGACCTGGTGCGCGGTCGCCACGCTGGAGCCGTCGCAAGTGCCATAGATGCACAAACATCATCAGACATTGGTGTGCTTTTCATGGACGAAGGCATATTGACCTTCTGCCAAGCCCCAGAATGGCCCCACCCACCCCACCTGTTCCAAAATGCCTTCGATGAGTTGAACTTTTCGGGGTCTGTCCAGCTCGGAGCAAGATGCCACCGCTAGTGTCAAGGCTTCCGTGAGCTTACTCCGTCCCGCTGCGGAAGACACCTCAAAAGAACAATAAAGAAGAGAACCATCACGGGCCAGTCACGGGTTAGCGTCCGATGATCACTATGTGATCCCTATGTGATCACTTGTCCTGACCCTGCATGACTCCATGACCATACTCTACATCGGCCTGGTCTCACAGGTCTCTGCATATCGGCATTCTCAAAGTAGGCACTTTGTCACCTGATCCGGTTTCTTTTAGCCCGCCCTTGCTCATATAACTCAGTAGGCACCTTACTACTAGCAATAGGGGATCTCCTAACTAGGACGCAGGATAGCTCACGCTTCAAGGAAGCCCCCCCCTCCTGAGGGCAGGGCAGAGCTTCCTTGAAGAAGCGCTCGCACTAATGATTTGGTTCCCGGATTTTTAGGGAAACTTGAAGCTGCCAAAGCAGGCACTAGACATTATATATTGGGAATGATTGCCCCGCCTTGGCTGCGAGATCAAGACATTCTGCATTCAGAGCTTCTAAGTGAGCGGCCTTGAGGACTCCGCTTTTGCTGATGCTCACCAGTGTGTCTAATGCCCGCTGTTCCAGCTTAATTCCTTTCGCTCGTGCATCACGAAGGGATGGCTCGAGCCGGATGGGTGCTAACACCCGAGCTAGTGCATCACGAAGCACCTCCTCACTCCAGAGCTTGTAAAAGGGGCTACAAGCTGACAAGAACTCGAGCCTCCGATACTCCATTGCTGGATTGAAACCACGTTGCACATAAACCTGCTGCAAAAACACCTGCAATGGTTGCAACACTGCTTCCAGCATCTCTTTGGATCCTTCTTTCTCAGCAGATTTCAAAGCCGCCAGTGCTGCACTTTCCACCAAAGACATCGCGCTGTCGCACTCTGCGACCCATTCGATCCCACCTCTGGCGTCGCTGTCTCCTGTTGAAAAACATGGACTGAAGTGTTGGCAAAGATTTGGTCGTTGATCTAAACTAAACTCCTGTTTACAAACCAACTACCATTAATATATAATATAATAGTATAGTAATATATATATATATCCATTTGTCATATTCATCTCTGCTTTTGTTGCATACCACAGTGCCATAGAATGCCATAGAGTATTGTGCCCTGTCGAATGACACCTCATGAGATGCCATCCAACATTATTCCTGAACTGTTGCTTGTATGACTCATGACCTGTGATTTGAAGCGGCCCTCCAAACAGTTGGGCCTGCCATGTTTTCAGCATCCCCTGCCAATGCTCGGGCAAGAAGCCCGCCCGCCAACCGGCAAATTGCACCAAAGCCTCCAGAACTTTGTGAAGGACTTGGTCGGCAGAGTTCACCTCCGGACGGTCGAAGAGACACGTTTGCTGCTTTCTGGCTTTACATGTTTTTTCTTGAAATAAGCCCGTGGCCCTGCCTCCTTACCTGCTTAACTCAGTGGGTGCCTACTTAATTAAGTAAGAGCAACTAGTTAGCTTCTCGGTAGGACGCAGGACAGCTCACGCTCCTTTAAGGAAGCTCCACCCGCCTCAGGGCAGGGGGAAGCCTCCTTGAAGAAGCGCTCGCAAAAATGATTTGGTTCCTAGATTTTAAGGGAAACTTGTAATAAGCTTTGCCTGATCCTTTGGTAAAATAAGGAACGCCAAACGCCAGAACATGGCGAGGTTAACGAAGAACGCATGCTGCACATTCTGGACCAGTTGCTGAGCAGCTCCTTGCTGTGAACTTTCAGCATACCCAGTCTTTGGGATTGCATCTGCTGACCGGAAAAGTCTGTCTCCAATATTTCAAAGCTTGCTGAAACCGCCATCCATTGGCACCACTCGCTGAAACTGCCGGGATTTTGTCTCGTTGACACAGATCCCAAGCAGCGTAGTAGCCATGAAGAATGCTCACTGGAAAAGGACGTGGCACTGGTGGTGTTCTTCAAAGTCAGCACATGCAGGACGCCGATAAGTTCTTCCAACCGTGGCCCTGACACCCAGGTCGCAGCTGTTGCCGTAGGCCATGGCTGTGCCTCAGTACGACTTGGTCGAGCCAAGGCCACCAGACCGGTCAAGGCATCAAGCTGCACCGCAGCGGCTGGATAGCGAAGCAGCTGCATGAGAGCCTCCCAGATTCCTCCGACCCCAGTGAATTCGATTTCCAAGGCCGGTGCCAACTTTGCTTAAAACAACATAATGACGTGGTATAACATGGTTTAACCACACACAGCGAGTGACACGGTTCAGCCAACTATGACCTTGTCAGCAAAAAAAACATCCCAAAACAAAACATCCAAGAAAGGGTCCTGATAGCTCTTTGGATGGCATTGCTGAAAGACTGGCTGCATTGAAGGTACAAAGGTCAGAAAGAAGCCTCCCAATTTGCTGATGAGAGCTATAGCTCTGAGGGTCATCAACATCAAACTTGCAGTTCTCCACCAGTCTGGCAACCATCTCTGTAAATCGACACATATCGTGTGTGGCTGGGCCAGCACTTGCAGCTTCTTTGTTCCCACGACTGGGGTGTAAGTGTTGCACCCATTCGGCCAATGATGTTAATGCGAACTCACTGAGGTCAGAAGATTGCAAACCCACCTGCACAATCTTGTCAAAGTGGTTTGCCAACAGCAGTTTCATCGGGACCGCGTGCGGCAATGCTCGACAAAGCTGGATGACCTCTCGGACCACCCTGCGATCTCCCCCGAACGCGTGCAAGGCCTTCTGCAAGCTGGCGACAAATGCTGGTGCTTCTGGAGGCTCTTTGAAATGCAAGGTCAGCCCATGCGAAATGTCACGACGTCGAGCTGCTGTGAGATCTTTGGAATCTTCCCCCACACACTCGGCCAGATGTGCCCAAACACTGAGACCAACAAGGGTTGAGCTGACCTGAAGCTGGTCAACTCAAAGAGCATTGAAACCTGTGATTCGGCAGCTAGGCTTAGAACCTAGTGGACCTAGTGCAACCTAGGAGCCGTTTGAGGTCCAAGAAGAGCCACGGTCAGTTCCGGCCATGCCCCAGGCCAATCAAGCTTGGCCATGCTTGCAACGGTCTCCGCGCACTTGCGACGAGCAAAAGGCTCAGTATGCGACGACCATGAGGATTTCATCAGTAGCTCCAGCAACCAGCTCTTCACCGAGGTCCATTCCACTGGTCTCTCAGACCGTTTAGACTGGATCCATTTCTGCAAGAGTTTCAGACCGAAGTGTTGCACCGCTGGGTTCGCTTCATTCGCGGTTCGCTTCAGGGCATGGTCCAGCGCTGGTGCCGAGCTGCAGCACAAGTGACTCAAATGCTCAAAAAGCTCCTGCGCTTCAATGAGCCCTGCGGAGTCGAGGCTGTTGATCCTGAGTCGAGGAAAGCTGTCTAAGCCTTAAGCTGTTGATCCTGCTTCCGAACCTTTAAACAAGCTGTTGACTCCCAAGACTTCATTCCAATTCCCATACGCAAATTTGCCGTTCAAGCCCTCGAATTGCATGTTGCACTGATCCGCTCCTTGAGACCAAGGAGAATGCGCGGTCGAAGACCCCATCTTCACCACCATCAGCTTCCATTGTGGCAAGCGAGGCCTGTTTAAGTAGGTATGTTTCGTTTTTATGCCAATGTCTATGCAATTCTATTTATTTGCAATGCCTTGTGAAGTGAATCGGAATCGAGGTACCAGTGCAAAAAGAAGAAGTCAACATATAGGCTGGGGTGTCTGCACACTCTTCAGATGCGTCTTCAAGAGCGGTTTTAAAGATCTTTCAAAGAAAGCCTGGAGCCAGGGCTTGAGCAGAACATGAGATATGATGAGATATGGATAGACATACGCTTTCTGAGGATTCTACCAGATTCTTCCAGTTTCTACTAACCCTACTATTTGTTGCAATAATATTAAAACATCATAGTTTTCAAAGAAAATGGGTGTGCCATGGGCGTGCTGGTGTGCCATGAAAACGGCATCCGTCCCTTGAAGCTCCCTGCGACAGGGAAGCTCCCACCTCCGCTTGCTTTTGAACGTGGCATGACGCCTGCTGATAGATCCTACGTATGTAGGGTCAGCGAGGGGTCACAGTGAAACTGTTGCTACTTGCGGAGAAGATTATGATCACTTGCTCGCCTCAGGCCGCTCTGCCCCCCAACCTACTGGTGATGGCCTCCAACGTACTAGCAATGACCTAAAACCTACTAGCGATGGCTTCCAACCTACTAGCAATGACTCCTACTTACTTGCTGCGGAGAAGATTATGATCACTTCCTCGCCTCAATCAAGGTGCTCCAAGAGGAACATCCAACGGGCCACCACCCGACGACCCAAACGATGGTTTTTTTTTGCTCCGTCCCAACGAGTCTCTGGCCGGAGGATACGGGCGCACCGTGCGGCGTTTGGGATTGGAACTGGGATCCAGCCTGGTGCCAAAAAAACATGTGTGAGGCAAAAAGGTGGGCAAAGAATTTAAACTGCAAAGACATCCGTTGATTTCTGGTTACAGGTTGCTTCACACAGCTATCAATTGCTTGGCATTGGACTTTATTTCACTGAAGTGCTGAGATTGCTGTCTGCATGGTGCATCCATATTCAATCTCCAAACTGGCGCCCAGAACATCCATGTTTTTGAAACTGCCAGATTAGGTCCAAACAAACTTTGGCAAGACTTCTTCGAACTACTCTGTCCGCTATTGGTGCCTGCTATCTTCTGGATTTAGATTCTCAGTGAGGGCACTCTGACGACGCGGCCTCGAAACAAGTGGAGCTGCGTGGCACAAGGCTTCGGGTGGGCTTGTTTGCTCTCGAAAGGTCCAACAAGCTCTAATCTTTGACTCTTAGCAAGCCCATGCAAGCCCTAAACTCCTAAACTTGCGCTTGCGGCGCATTGTGAAATCACTGTTATAACTACCATTACCACCTGATAATGGAGGGGACGAAAGCCAGCCTCCGTAACAATATAGTCGACATTGCACTGACCTCTACTGCTGTTAGGCACGGGGCAATAGAAGGCAAAGAGGCGCAAAGTCACACATTAAGGGTCGATATGATAGGTTCTTTATATGCAAGGCCTTGATCAAAGCCCATTCATTCACTGCCACGCGTTAGGACTTTACAGCCCTTTTTCTCTTGGTTCAAGCACTTCATGATGCTAATGATGATTTGCCTCTCTCACATCACCAAGACCCCCTAAAAACCCTAAAACACACATTTTCACCACCTTTTGGACGCCCGTTTTTTGTCGCTCTCCCCCACAAGGCTCCGGGTTCGCCCTACCCGCCGGGACCCGCCCTGCGCCCCCCCTCGCACCCCCTATACTCACTTCGTGCGCCCACGACAACTCCAGCCTAGCCTACCGGCTGGCTTTCGTAACAGATTTAGGGTAGAATCTCCAGCCTGTTACCATCAGAAAGCAACGGAAAACAATCTTTTTTATTGAGCTCTCGCAATGCTTGATTTGCCGAAAAGTTGCTCGCTTCGGGCTGGCTCATCCTGCAAAAAGAGCTTCTGCTAAGCTAATTGCTGTGTCAGTATATGATTATAGTCAATTATATATGGATTCTTTCCTGCTGTAATTCAACCAAAAACATGATTCAAAATATGAGCTTCAAAAAGGGTAGCCGCAAGACCTGCCTGCTCACCAAAGAGTGAACCTGGGTCTAACGTGGCTTTCCGAGAGCCCATCAAGGCGTTTGCATGTGGCTTTGAGAGTCCTAGCCCATGATCTAAGCCCAGAACTCGAAGGCAACTCTTTCCTGCAAGCTGTCAGAGGGGGAATGTGAGTGATCTTGTGGTATTGCATCTAGATTCCAGATCCCGACACTGCAAACTCACGTGAGTGTATATACACTGAGCTGTCAAATCCATTGCTTCATACTGTTTGCCACAGCATGCCACAGCTGATTCAAAACCAGTGGCACTACAAGCTCAAAGGAAGTGGGCAAAAGTGAGCGCACAGGGTGCTGGATCTCTCCCAGAAAAACTGTCCGATGGCGAAGGTCGCTCCTCAATTCCCACGCTCTGGTCTGCGCCAACCTCTGCAGTTGCGACAGCCGGTTGTTGTAGCAGCCTCATCAGGTCGCAGCGCAGCTCAGCTTTTGTTTTGTTCGCCAAAGTGAAAGCCTTCACGGAAACCGGTTCGCCAAATGAACGAATCATTAGACCTAATGAGTGAACGTTGCAAGAGTGCGGATGGCAGAGTGAAACCATGGAAGCCTCTACCCTCAACATCTGGGGGCGCTAAGACTAAAACACGGAGAGAGAAAGAGAGAGAGAGAGAGAGAGAGTTCATGAGAGTTCCTTGACGAAGTTCTATGTCAAAATATGTCAAAAACTACGGCGATATCCTTGGCTCAGTCGTGACTCCGCTTTCCTCAGGTTCTGGCCCAAGTACGAGGTAAAAATAGAGCCCTCCGGTGGAGAGTACCGAAGGCCATCCTCGCTTTTTCGACATGGTCGGAAGAGATCTGTCAAGACACGACATCAAAGGACCGGGTCAACATGTATGGGCAACCCTCCCAGGCCTTGTACAACAAGTCGAAGCCGCCAATTTGCAGCTCATGGCCCGTCAGATATTTTTCGATATCCAAAAGCCTGGGCCAGTGAAGGCTTCAGCCTGGTCGTTTCAACTCCACATGCTTGGTGCAAGTAGAGAATGTGTACACCTTGATTGGTACACCTTGCATGTAGCTTTGGTTGTTATGATCATCCACCCCCTAACATTGGATGAGGAAGGTCAAGCAAGCCGTAGGATAGTTTGACAAAAACACACTGTGATTTCCATGGAAGCTATTGTTTTGAGGCCCAAGAGATCCCAAAAGCACACATACAGGCTCAGTCAAAGGACGCCTCAACTTTCCTCAACTTTTCCTACAAATTGTTCCACAAGGAAAAGACTGCAATCTTGGTTAGTGTACCTTAATGAAATGTCGTATGGAATTTCAATCACGAGACGTTAAAAGGTCATCCAGCAAGCCATATTTCATCTCATAGTCGGCAACAGTATTGGCTGTCAAGGATGGCGATGCATTCACCTGAAGGCGCAGCAGAGTCAGCTTCCAAAGGATGAAGGACAAAACCATATTATGATATGTTATGTGTTGATATATGTGTATATTGTAGGGCATGTTTTTATGATAGTCATGTTCATATCTATCATGAAGAATAGTATAATAATTGAACACGGAAGCGGAGGAGAGGAGCCAAGGTTTGCCTCAAGGAGCCAAGGTTTGTAGTCGACATCAATGAGGATGTCATAGCCATACATCTCGAAACAGTGCTTGTCGTTAATCATCACCTGCAAATATGGCAATAGAGTCAGAGAGTCAGAAAGAGTGAGCGAAAAAGAGCGAGAGAGAGAGAGAGAGGAGAACTGCAAGTTGCTTTTGTCCAAATCGTTCACCCGTCTCTTGTCAAAGGATGACACCTGTCAAATATATAGCCTGGCTGTCAAACCAATCCTCGTCAAATCCTTGTCTCTTCTCCGCCCCTGTGGGGCCGCTTCACTACATTCCGCATTGCCAAGTTTTCCACAGTGGCCACTGGACTGAAACTCAAGCGACGATTCCGTCGCCTTTTGAACGGAGAGGAGCGAATGGATGACAATCTCTTCAATGTCACTGAAAAGCTTGTTTACCACGTCCACACTTGCCTCTTGATCGAAAGCTGGTGGACTTGTACAAAAAGGGTACAAGACTCAGGACCTCAGAATAGCTCGAACTGAGGTCCTGGCCGTTGTGAGGAGATACGACTTGAGGTTGTTCACGTCCCACTTCGCACCGGTTCGCTTGTAAGCTGCCTTGCCACTATGCTTCTGGACCTCGGGCACAGCATTGCAGAAACTCCCGGATTGGCCAGTCTCTCACCAAGAGTGCCCTTCACATGGAACAGTCGTGTGTATGTATATTCAAATAAAAGCGTCATAATTAAACATGTAATATTAAATACATACAACATATTACATAGAATTATACATAAAAGTCATATATTATATAGTGAATTGTCATAAGATGTTCTAGGGGTCAATATCCAGGCAAGACAGGGTCAGGCTTTCAGGCCGCATAAGGCCACCAAAGTTGTGCTGAAAGACTGCCACGTTGGTGAGGTGAGAGCCCAGGTCATTGAGGTTGCTTTTGTCCGCGGAGTATCTGGACATGGAAAAACGGCAAAAGCCACCACGGTGCATGTAGACCTTAGTCCCATGGTGGAGGAGGATGGCAAAAACTGCAGCCATATATCCCACAGCAACTGGCAACTGAGTCTTGGGCCGTGAGTGGATGATAGCTTGTGACGCAAACATAGAGGCGCATGTCCTAAAATATGACGTGAAGCTATCGCATTAGCCACTGCTTCTTTGATGTCAAGGAGGTTTTAGCCGCTAGTTTACGGGCTGAGCACTCGGCGAACTTTTTGCCACCAATGAGGAGAGGCGACTCGACATATTTCCTTGGAGAAGTACTCAACTCTGCACAGAAAAAAACCAGTGGCTCCGTGACTCATAGCTCCCAAGAACAGCCATCGCCACCGCCATCTTGACCAAGACGTGCAGCCAAGCGTCTGCGCAATGTATGTTTCAACGCCAGCTGCCTCATCGTCCTAGCGAACGACAACCGCACCGACCCTGTGCTGATTCGGTCATCGCACCGACCCTGCAAACGGTCCTCGGTTTTGTCGGTTTTGGATTGTGAAGGATTCCAGTCCTGGCAAAGGGGGCAAACAAAGGCCAGCCGATTCGGCTCGAAATCCTTTCAGAATGCTAGAGCTCGAAACTCCTTCTTTCAATCCATTTGAATAACTTAAAACCTAGCTCAAATGCAAATCAACCACCAAAACAATCACTTTTCAGAGATCTTCAGAGTAGAAACATCACAACCCTTCCACAACCTCAACTGGAACCTCAACAGTAAAACCTACCGATAGATACTGCAATCGAATGCAATCGACATGTTCAGGTGGTTCGAAGTTAAAGACCACCGAAATCAACTGCAGGAGATGGTAATTATGCGAGAAGACCCAGACCTTGTGCCGATGCTGGAAGTTGCAAAAAGAACATGCTGCTGCGAACATTTGAGAGGAACTTTGAGATTTGAGACTCTCAAAGTCTAGTTGCGTTGCCAAGAACGTCCCATTCCTTCCCAAACCCCTCCTGTCTTGGCTTCCACTGCTGAGTTTGAGCAAGCTTGTTCACCAAGAAGATCCCCGAGCCCTGGGAACGACCAATGGGCTTCATGATCCAGGTGGAACCCGTCCACTTCTTGAACTCCTCCACAAACATGCTGTATTCCTGCGGCTAGGCGATGCTGACCATCACTCCGCCTTTTGACGTATGTTCAATCATCGCTATTAGGGGCCGAGGCCATCGCTATTGTCATTTCGACCCCAACATGCGCCATCGAACAGATCATCGAACTGGATCACTGATATCGATGATCATCTACCGTAGACTTTGCATGGACGGAAATCAGCTCCGCAGGTCCTGTGGTACCACAAAGGTGATGGGGCAAATGTTGTACTTTGCAGCTTCGGCATGTCTGCCGTCCTTGCAGAAGCAAAGCTCAGTACGTGAAGACCCGCGCTCAAGAATACATATGCGGCCTGTAGAATATCAACCAGAACCTGTGGGTTGTCCAGAAATGCAGCATGCGCTTTTCAGCTTTCATGGACGCTTAGTTTGTCACTGTACAGGGGCTGAGGGGACGTTGCCAGTTGCCAGCAAGATTATTGCCTGACTAGGGCCAAGTGAAGCTGATGATCAAGACAGGTACCCACTTCAAGCTACACGTGCTTTTGATCTCAAATTCCCATCCCCGTCCTTCTCACACTGCCGCTTCATCCTCTTCATGTTCTTGACCAGCAAGTCTTTGCGTGTGAGCTCATAGTGGTTCAGGAAGTGATTTACATGCTGGTGAGGATCTAAGTGCATTTTGTCGAATGCTGAGTGGATCCAATCCTCAGATGAGCTGTGTTTGCTGGCTTGCAAAGCCACAAAAGGAGGAAGGAGCATGTTGAGCTGTCTTCAAGCCTATGCGGTTCCAAGAGTCTTTGTCGGTCCAGAAAATGTGCCACTCTGTATCAACATCCGTCTCTTTCCACCCACGTGACTTAAGAACGTCATAGATGGTGTTGTATTCGCTGTCCTGGCATGGGTCGCCAAGCACCAAAAGGAACTCTGCAGCAAACCCAAACCACTCCAAACCCAAACAAATTCTGTACAGAGCTTCCTATCTAGAATAATAAATGTGTACAGGTTTCGTTGCCTGGCAAGCTCCTGTTGTTGCCAACAAGAACAAAGATACTAAGTAGTGTCTAAAAAGAGGTCAAGATTGGTTGATTGGTGTGCAAAGCACGATTGTGGGGAATTTACGCTTACTTTCAGAGGGTGTTATAATATAGTTCTGAACAATCGAATCCCAAACATAGCACATGTGTAAAAACGCGGTGCCATATGTATAAGTTCCTCGAATCTTGTCTCTGTGCAAGTAAACTCTTTGCCAACATCAAACCCTTTGCAAACCTTCTTTGACACCACTACAACAAGACCTACCCGCCAGGCCCGCCAGGTCTTTCTAGACTCAGATGCTCAAACAGGGTACCAGTAACCATCACCACCATGCACTACAATATATACCACAAAGTTCAACACCGTTTCTGAAGTGGGTTACAGAGGGTTACAGCAAGGCCAGGAGCTGAGTTCCTGGGCCAGGAGCTGTTAGTGGACCATTGAGGGAGCAAGGCCCTATCTACAACACAAATAGTTTTTCTCCGTGCAACGATGCAAACGGAACCTCTTGTTTCTTGGTCACGTTCGTGGCCCATGAGGCAAGGATTTACTATCAACAGTAATGTGAATACAGGGATATACAATCAAACACGCTCCAAGAACCTTCTGGACCTTTTAAGGTGGTAGGTTGTTTTGGTCTGAATGGATCTTACAACCATACGGGCATGTGTGCTGCATGCAGTCCCTTTTGGCTGATGAAGCCACAGGCCCAAACACACGGGCCAAGAGCTTTAGAAGTGGTCCAGACTTCGCTGAGGATCAGGGTTCTTTAGGTTTTGCTTGAAGAATTTGAACCTCCAGTAAGAATTTTCAATCCTGCGCTGGCATAATTGTAATCAACTAGCCAACTTTGGCCAACTGGAGAGGAAGAATCCGCCGGCCCTGGGGCACGGCGTGCTTTGGGTAGTTGGCTTTTTGGTCGTAGTTCTTTGTTAAGCTATGTCTTGTCTGTTTTTGTGCTCCCCCGGGCGGGTTTTTGAACGGTCTAACCCCTCCCCCCCCTCCCCCCCTCTTGTCGTTGTCCATGCATTGCGCTTCTGCTTTGTATGCGTTTTTCTCAGGTTTTGCACCTGCACTCACGTATCTATCGTTTTTGGCAGACTCAGACTGCTTGGAAATCCCCATGCCACACATGTCCTCATTACTCTCTTGTATCATGTCTGACGGAGTGCTATGTACGTTTGCTGCTTCGCACGGTCTACTTCGCTCATTGTGTCACCTGTCATATAATTTGTCTTCTTGCTTGGCAGGCTATACGTTGCATCCCCCAATTTCATCTCCCTGTTCTCTTATTGTATCATGATGCACGTCATTTCATGTAGGCTCCTCTGTTGCTCCAGCTGTGTTCTGGATGATGCTGTTACTTTTTCTGCTCTGTTGCAGTCTTTCCTCTTGACGCAAAAGGTACTCCGCATCTTGGGACCATTGGCTGAAAAGGCCGGCGGAACAACCCGCAGGGTGTAAATAAACGCATTGTTTGATAGGTGTGTGAAAATATGCTGCGTGGTCGTTCAATAAGCGACCAGTGTCACATCATCATCCAAACCTCAAAAAGGCCGCGCCTTCGAATTTCCCGCCGCATCTGACACTCGGTGAAGCTTGGCGCAGCGAAAGCGAATGAGTGCTGCTGGGGGCGGATCGCGCCTCGCAAAAAAGGCTACTAGGAAAAAGAACGCTACTAGTAGCTCCTGGCGTTACTACTAGGAACAAGAAGATACTAGGAACAAAGGGCATCACTACTAGGAGCAAGCTATCACCCTTGAAGTATGTTACGCACGGGCGATCCTTCTTCATGAGAAAACACACTCAAAGCCTCTGGAATAGATATTTCACGTTTTGGACTTTGGGTGGCTCTTGTGTCCATTTACAATCTATATAGCTCTTGGTGACTATTGCACCGGCTTGCCAGGAACACCGAATGATCTCAAGAAAGCCACGCCGACCAGGTCTACCGATCAAAGCCGCACCAAGTCTGCCAATGTCCATGTTCAAAAAGACGGACATTCAACATTCAGCTTTTACTCCTGTCCTGGCCTTACTACTAGGAACAAGGACGCCACTAGTAACAAAGGGCATCGCTACTAGGAGCAAGGACGCTACTAGTCGCTCCTGGCCTTACTACTAGTAAGAAGGACGCTACAAGCAACAAAGGGCATCGCTAGGAGCAAGGACGCTACTAGTGGCTCCTGGCCTCACTACTAGTAACAAGGACGCTACTAGTAACAAAGAGCATCGCTACTAGGAGCAAGGACGCTACTAGTGGCTCCTGGCCTTACTACTAGTAGCAAGGACGCTACTAGTAACAAAGGGCATCGCTACTAGGAGCAAGGACACTACTAGTGGCTCTTAGCCTTACTACTAGTAACAAGGATGCTACTAGGAGCAAGGACGCTACTAGTGGCTCCTGGCCTTACTGCTAGCAACAAGGACGCTACTAGTAACAAAGGGCATCGCTACTAGGAGCAAGGACGCTACTAGTGGCTCCTGGCCTTACTACTACTAACAAGGACGCTACTAGTAACAAAGGGCATCGCTACTAGGAGCAAGGACGCTACTAGTGGCTCATGGCAATACTACTAGTAGCAAGGACGCTACCGGCTCCTGGCCTTACTACTAGTAACAAGGACGCTACTAGTAATGACAAGCATCGCTACTAGGAGCAAGGACGCTACTACTAGTGGCTCATGGCCTTACTACTAGTAACAAGGACGCTACTAGTAACAAGGGGCATCGCTACTAGGAGCAAGGACGCTACTAGTAACAAGGGCATCGCTACTAGGAGCAAGGACGCTACTAGTTGGCTCCTGGC